CTGTTACTGAGGCCTTCAGAAATGCACCAGAGACAGAGCAAAACACAGACACTAGGGTCCTTGACATCTCCTGAGATAGAGAGAGCTACAGTTCTTTCTTAATTTTTTTAAATGGAGGCATTGGGATTGAACCCAGGACCTTGGGTATGTGAAGCATGCACTCTTACCACTGAGCTATACCCTCCCCAGAGAACTAGAAATCTTGATTGCCACCAAGGAAGCTGCTTATATGGGCTCAGGTGTGCCCAGGTCCCAGAGTAGAGTTCATCTGCCCAGGTCTTTGCCCTGCCTTGGCTGCAGTCACCCACTCCATCTGAGTGTATCCCAGGAAGTAGAGGACCCTGGTTCAGATGTCCAGTTACTCTTGGTCTCCTTGGCAGTGCTGCTCAGGTTTTGCTTCTTCCATGTTGGCAGCTTGACTTAGCTTTTCTGGGAATGCTCAGAGCTTTCTCTGGCTTCACACTCCTGCCCTTGCACTGCCTCTCAGGACCTCTAAAGCACTGCTGTCCAATAGAGCTTTTAGTGATGATGGAAATGTTCTATAATCTGCACTGTCCAATATGGTAGATATTAGCCACATGTGGCTCTTGAGCACTTGAAATGTGGCCAGTGTGACTAAGGAATTGAGTTTTAAATTTTATTTAACTTTATTTAATTTAAATCTAAATAGTACACATGGCTACTGGCTACAGTATTAGACAGCAGAACTCTGAAGAGTTCAGGGAGGAGAGTTTTTCTTTTTTATCTGTAAAATGGGGATAAAATCTGCCCCATCTGCCTCAGAAGGCTGTCTGGAGCAAACAATATGGTGAATATGAAAGAGTTTTGTTATTCCCATAAGGGATCTTGAAAGAAATACAGCAGTGTGAACTAAGTGGGCTATTCTTTTAGCTCTCTGTTAATATTTCTGTTTTATGGCCCTTGTTGGACTGTTTTGATTTGGTCTGTTTACATTTCTGTCTCTCTCTTCTGAGCCTGAGATCTTTGAGGGACTGTTTCATAGCTGTATCCTCACAGCCAGTGGCTGGCATGTAGCTTGGTACTCACATTCCAGTAAAGAAAATGTCTGGAGTCCAGAAGTGAATCCTGGAAGCAGAATTTAAAGTGTATGGTGAAAGCTGGAGTGGGGGAGGTTCAGAGAAGAGGAGGCAAGACAATAGGGTGGTGACGCAGAGAGCAAGGGCTTCTGTTCCCCACACTAAACGTTTTAGCTTTCTTCAGAGAGAGCAAGGAGCCAATTCCTGATGCCAGGAATGCTTTCACACAACTAGGTATCAGGCTTGTGGGAGGTTGAGAAAGACTGATCAGAGGAGAAATGATCTACCCAACACATTTTGCTTGTTGAGGAAGGCCAGATTAATCATATAAATCTCTGCCTAACCAGGGCTCTGGGGGTGGGCACTATGGTTTCCTTTGATTGGTGGTGGCAAGGTTGAAGATGGTTCCTCAGGCTCTGTACCCTTCCAAAGTTTTGCTTTACTGGGGATTGGAAGAGGGAACTTGGAAGCTCTCCAACAGAGCTGCAAGGGAGAGAAAGCTTTTTAGTTGTTGTTTACCTATTTAAAGGAAAATCTAAAACATTTCTGCTCAGTTCCAAGAATAATACAGGGAAACAAAGAGAGAGGCTACTGTGATTCCACCACCCATTCTGATCCCTGGACTTCAAACTTCCCTCCGTTATAGTCACCTTCCTTGTTTGGGGGCCATGAGAGTGGAGGTAGTCTGCGTAGGCCCGGCCCTGCACACTGATTCTAGCAGCTCAGCAGGCTTGAGCACAGAGCTAGTTCTCCTGGGAAGGTGGTTCTCAGTTAGGGCTTTTCAAGGTTTGGGGACTGGGGGACACAGGATTTCCCTTCCCCACACACTTGTGCTGGTTAGATCTGTCTCAAGAAGGAAGCCAGGCTCCTGTGAGTGCTGGCAGCTCTGTGTCCAGCTGGACTCTTGGCTCATGCATTTCTTTATTCATTCTAAGACTTGAGCTTATTCTATTTTTAAGCATCTTAATCTTGGAGTACTTTATTAATATCTTTTTATAACTTGTGTCAGGCTCAATTGTAATTTATATGTTCATTCTGCAACATATCACTGATGCAATAGATATCCGTTGAACATTTACTATCTGTCCTCATGGTACTAGGCAGTGACACAAACTAGAATTATTCCTAGGCCCAGCTACTCACACTGGTCTCCTGGGTGTTCTATGGGAAAAGTGAGCTGTTCCCTGTCCTTTCCCACCCAGTCCCAGGGAAGTGTCTTATGTAGGGCTTTCTAATAAACTGGCACTACCTACTGCACTATTGCCCAGGGGTTGTTCTCCCTCCCTGGGCTACTAACCACTGTTTGCTCACGGTTGCAAAGTCAATTTCCCATTTGCTTGAAGTAAACATAAACAAGAAAACAGATTAACTGCTAGAAGCTCACATAATACATAGAAGAGGGAAAGGATCTCCAGAGATAAATTGATTATTTGTTCTTATTTAGATTATCCTTTTCTCCACTCGGAAATGACCAGAAATCACTGTGTCTGGACTCTAAGGGAGCCCCCCTTCCCATTTTACTGGGCAGGGTAAGCAACTCTATGCAAGGGGAAGGTCTAAGAGATGATATCCTGGAAAGAGAATAGGATTTTTGCAGGCACCCATATCGGGCTTAAATTCCCAGTTCTACTACTTTTGTACTGTATGACCTTGCTTAAGTCCTTCAACATCGTTGAGTCTCAGCTTCCCTATCTATAAAAAGGGGCGGGGGGGGTGACAGTTATAACCTTAAAAAGTTTTAAGTAAATATAATGTATATGCAGCACCTGGCAGATATAAATGAGGTATTCAGTGGTAGAGCATAATTAGAGCTGCAGATGACTTACTTTCAAAATAATTGGTCGTTGTCAATTCACACAATACATAAGTATATAAGTAGGTGACTTGTAGGCGGTCTATTCTGCATGAATTTTCTAAGGACTATTTACTGCTTGAGACTAGGCTTTGTACTCAGTCACACCAGTTTGATTTATTTTTACGCCCTACCACCTCTAATTTCTTTCTGATGATCCTTCCCCTACAAAGAAATTAAGCTATTGGGAAATCAAAGACAAATTTCAAAGTTCTATTTTCCTCTAGTTTAGACGCAAAACCAGGCCTACAGCCATCTGTTCCGGGCGTCTCTCACGCCGGCGGAAGGATACCGGAGCGAAGCAGGTTTGAACTGGTGGACGCTGAGAGGCGGGGCTTAACGGAAGCCGGAGAGGGGCGGGGCTGGTAACTCTGAGCGCGAGAAAGGGAGTGAGGCGGCTGCCGGCTGTTCTAGAAGACGGCAATTGGGCGACGAGGCGAGTGTCGTAATAGCTACGCGCTCAAGGCGAGTGACGGAGGCCGCCTTGTCTGCGTATCGGGAGCTGGTTGTTGCTGCGGCCGCCTGGAATTGTGGGGGTTGTGTCTGCCCCTCGGCTGCCAGGCGGGAAGCCGAAGGTAGGGGCCAGTGTGGGCCGGTCGGCCCTGGGCCTGGGTGGGGGGCTCAGGGCGCTGCCCAGGCCTCCTCCTGCCAGCGTCCCCGGGGCCTTCCCAGCGCTATTCCTAGGTCCCCACGCACCCCACCTAGTGTCTCCGAAGTGGGCCGTACAACTAGGCCCTCAGTGTTGTCTGCAGACCTGGCCTCTCAGCCCAGGGGTCGCCTTCCCTACCTTTCCCGCTGTAAACGTCTCCAGTAACCCTGTTAGTGCCAGGAGATGAGGCAGTGGGTTTCCGAGACTGGCTTCGGCTCCGCAACTGTTTTAGTTTTCTTCCCTGTTCCCTTTTCCCGGCCACAGTTTCTGCGTTTGTGTAACCGCTCCAGAACCTTGCTGGCGACTCTTCACTATAGGGAATTGCACCCTACCCGCGTCGTATTTCCATTCCTATTGTGTGTTTTCCTTTGCGTTAGGAGATGAAATACTTGACTTTAAAGTAGGGTTACAGACTTTGGTGTGTTTGAAATCACCCAGGAGGTTTTGCATAGCTCTGGGTTCTATTCACAGGAATTTTGGATAAACGGGGGCATGGGCACCTGGCGTCCTCCTCAGGTGGTTCAGATTCAGGTGGTCCTGAAATCCTCCCTCTGAAATTCTCTGCTTCAGAAGGCAGGAGAAAATGAATTGAAATTGGAACCCTATTTCAGGGGCTCCAGATGGGAAAGACAAGGAGTCAGTAAATGCTCAATATCTAAGAGGCCAGTGGGGGCTTTCTTTGCACTGTAGCAGCCAGAGGGCTTAAAAAAGTTAATAATAATTTAAAAAATATGACTTATATGTAAGATTAGTTTTTTAATAGCTATTTAAAAATGCTTGACCTCCATTCAAGTCCAACTGGCTTTCTGACGTAAATAAAACAAAATTGACAAACTACTTTGGGGGCTTGAGGAAGTTAGATTAAACCGAGTCTAGGTAGGCAGGAAAAGAATGAATCTTACATGTTGGCTAAGAGAAGAAACTGATATTTATAAACACTTGTTTTGACAGTGTGAAAAATGCGTTGTTTTGTATCTGTGTGTCTGTTTAGCTCTCAACCCAATTAAGCTGTTTTCTTTTCTGGTAATAGCCAGATTTGGAGATTGGATAGGATTTTGATGGGAACCAGGGCATGAGGATATCAGGATTGATATCTGTATAACATGGATCAGGACTTGGTTTGGAGCTTCACTTGAGAGCATGGCCTTTAGGTTTTTAAGATCTTGCTACACCAGATTTGTTTTAACCTTTCTTTTGGATGTGTAGTGAATTTAATCTGCTGGTTAATGCATGTGCTGTTCTGATGAAATCGGCAACAGGAAAGACTTATTGCCCCATTATACAGATGGTGGGAATGGGGAATATGTTAGTAGGGATGTGGTAGCCCAGGAATGAGAAGTTGCCTTGTCTTCTGATTCTTGCTTTCTTCTCCTTCCCTAGTGTCTTTGAATGCCTCCTATTACTTACTTCTCTGCAGAGGCCAGGTGTGTTTCATTGGCAGGAGAAAAGACTAATTGCTCCTCACTCTGGCCTAGCTCCTGACGCTGAGGGCTGCCTTTTCTCTTGAGTGGCTCCTACCCTTCTTTCTTCTTTCAAGCTGCTGGGGAGAGGCCTCCACCTCCTTCATTTCACCCCTTTAATCGTGTGAACCCCATTATTTTGATTTCTCCTTTTCCCAGAACTCTTGAGTGGCCTTGCCTCCCCCAACCTGATCTCCATTGGCCTGGTTCTGTCTTCTAGGGCCCATGTGGCTGGCACTCAGTAAATGTTAGTACCTCTTCTGTTCTTTTCTGCCTTGTAGCCAGAGGAGGCATAGTCCAAATTTACCAGCCATGGGAACGTTTGTGCGCCCACTTACATTTCAGTCTCGGGTTGGAGGTGAGGCTGACTTGCATTCCTGTGTGTTCTGCTGGCATGAGGTAATTTCCTTCTTCTCCCTTAGCAACTTTTATCCTCTATTCTCTTTGCCTTTCTAAATCTTAGGGGTGGAGCATGGCAGCAGAAGCTGGCAAGTAGCGCCAGAAGTTGGAAGCCATCAGTGATAGTTCAGTGTTTACGGGTAAGTTGTTAAATGGATTGAGGGAAAAGCCTCTGAGAGTGTGATAGAACTTGGCAGGGGAGAGCTGAAGAAGCTTCTGGTGTCTGCATAACAGAGGCTCCTGGAGCTGGCTGCTTGTTCAAGTTTTGGCTCTGCTAGCTTTTGGTTTCAGGTCAAGGGGCATCCCTTCCAGGTGCCTCCGTTTCCTTGTCTGCGAAATAGTAGTAAGTAACAGTGGCCACTTGGTAGGGTTATTGTGAAGATTAAATGAGATAAATTGAAAACCATGTAGCTCATTACCTGATGTGCATTAAGCACTATTATCATTATATCACTTTTAGAATTTATAGATTGTAGATGCAGAGTGGAAAGGCATGTAACACACCATTTTCTTCCCCTTTCAAATGGTCCTCCCTTAAAAAAAAAAAGACTAAGTGAAACTGAAAAATAACAAAATAGGTTTCAAATAGACATTCCAGAACTTAATTCTCAATGAATGTTGTTCTCCTTTAGAATGGTATGTGTAGGTGTAAGTGGTGGGGGTTAAGGGTAGCATCACTTAAGAGATACGGACTTTGTCCAAAGCAGTTTTTTTTTAAAAATTTTATTTTTTTTGGGGAGGAGATAATTAGATTTGTTTATTTTTAGAGGAGGTACTGGGGATTGAACCCAGGGCCTCTTGTGTCCAAAGCAGTTTTGAAAATCCACCTCTGAAGTTGTCTTCAGAAACATTTTGAACCATTTGAGAGATCAGTTTCATTAATACATGATACCATACTGGTTTTTTTTTAACCCTAAATGGCATAGTTAAGCAACCTTGTCAGCTGACTTGTCTTCAGATGAATTAACAGTTCGTTTTAAGTGGGCGTAGTTGGTTTTTGGTGTGTGTTGAGTATGAGTTTTGATTCTGAGTCTATCACTTATTAGCCATATGACCTTGGACAAGTTATTTCACCTCTTGGGCTTGGTTTTTACTGCATAAAAATGGGAATAATACTTTGAAGAGTAGTTAAATGTAGTAATACATATGAAAGTCCTTGGGACGTGGGAATGCAGTAACTGTTTTCACCCTCAAAGGATGAAGATTTGCTATTAATGAGAATATTCAGAAAGACATGATAGTCTCTAAAGGCAAGGATGGATGACTTCTAATTGTCATTTCATTATGTTTGTGGCCTCATGCTGACCTTCTCATCCTGCCTTCTATCTTTTTCTTCATTATCTATCCTTTCTTAAGTGAAGCTGTGCTGCAGAGGCTGTCTGCCAGTCTCTTGGAGTAAGCCTCTTTTCAGGAGAGCTAATCTGAACATACTTAAAATGCCAACCCCTTGGTCATGGATTCCTGGGGATTTTTCTCTGGGGCTGCAGCTGGTGCTTAGATCATGCTCTGTAGTGCAGGCATCTCTAACTCCTGGATTTGGTGTCAATTTGGAGACCTGTCCTTATGGAGCTAATCTTTTCTCTTTCTGAGCAAGAATGAATACTTCATTCTTATCTGAGTCGGCCTTAAGCTGTGAGCCTTAGTCGTCTGCAGCATAGAGCTTCTTACTTTAATTATATGTGGTCTAAAGAAGGAATATCCTGCCTTTTTCTTTGCTTCATTTACTTTCACCAAGGGTTTTACTGCTAAGTGTGGGGGAGGAGAATAGCCTGTTGTCATTCAGGTGGGGCTTTGGGTAACTCCTGATTCCTAGCTTCAGTAATTGAGTTTGTCTTTGGGATAACAACCTCGTAAAAGATTCAGGCTACTCAGAACACATGTGAAGAACCTGCCAGAATTTTCTTAATTTGTGGAGGGTTTACACCTGGCATCCTCACTGATGCAATTTTCTACCTAGGAGACAGAATCCAGGAGCAACTGACTATGTTTAGCATTGACTTGTAGTTCTTTCAGTTTCCACCAGGCAGCTCAGACAAAGGTGTGGTTGTGTTGGCTGACTCTGTCTGCCCTCATTCTCGTAATAGTACCCTAGTCACTATCTGAGGTATGGAGGATTGTCTTAGTTCAGTTATGGGCTGCTATAACAAAATACTACAGACTGGCTGGTTTAAATTACACTTATTTCCCACAGTCCTAGGGGGTAGAAGTGCAAGATCAGGGTGCTAGTATGATTAGATTCTTGTGGAAAGTGGATCGGCCCTTTGGACTTCTAATCGAGTGTTTCTCATCCTTTTGTTCATTATTACCTTTTGAGACTTTTCCCCCCCAATTGCCTCCCTCCCCCACCCTACCGCACCATGGAATTTTAATACCACAGATTGACTGTGTCCGTTTATGTACTGTGGCCCTTTGGAGGGTCACAGACTGCTATAATATCTAAGATTTTTCTTCCTCAGGAATAATTTTTCACCCCTTTGGGGGAGACTTTGCCTTCATTGAGAATGCATGGTGTTACCCTGTATTCTCTCACTGATATATAGTCATCAAGGCTTGTTTCCTATCTAGAAGTTCCCACTATCACCATAAGCTTTTTCAATGCCTCCAGTACCAAACTGGTAAATCAGGAGAACATTATCTCATCCAGTCCTCGCATCAACCTTGTAAGGTGGTTGGTATTTTACAGATGAGGTAACTGAGGCTGTGATCTGATTAAGATAAAAAAGTCTGATATAGCCAGTCTTTAAATCCAGTTCTGACTCCAAAGGTATTTCTGTTGCACTGTGCTGCCCACTCCCACCCCTCAAGAGTCTGTAGTCATCAACAGGTTATTTGGTCATTCAGCTTATTTTCTCAAAGCCCTACTAGGTGCCATGCCCAATTGAAGATGTTGGGGACACTGAAGTGAGAGTTCCTGCTGTTAAAGGGATAACTGAATTTTTCCAGGTTGAAGATACCTTAGAGATAGTGCCTTTGTTACCCTCTCCTGTTTGGACCTCTTACTAGATGGCTGGCCTTAGCTAATGGCTGTCATGGAAGGATTTGAGCTAGTTGGCCTTAAGGAAGGTGAAAGCTCTGGATTTGTCCTTACTACTTCCATTTTCCAATCAGCAGAGCTGTTCGTAATCACTGAGCATGTCGTGTACAGAGTATAACCAAAAGGATGCAACAGGTCTAGTAAACTATTTGACCATTAGATGTTTGTGAGCATGATGATTTGTAAGAATGACATCTGCTTTGCTTATTGATAGTCCTAGTAATTCAGAACAGAAGTTATTTGTCCCTTTCTGAAGTTATTCCATTTTGCCTGCCTCAAAGCTTAGTAATGTTAAGAGAGTTGGAGAAGAAATGGAATGTGGGCAGAGGTGGTGGGAGGGATATTTTTTACCTGGATTTCTCCAAAGAGGCTGGAATTGAGTTTTTTCTTCTTTTTTAAAAATTTTGTGTGTGTGTGTATATATATATATTTAATTGACATATGGTTGGTTTACAATGTCATGTTAATTTCTAGTGTTGAGCATAGTGTTTCATTTATATACATATATTGCTTTTCATATTCTTTTTTATTATAGGTTATTACAAGATATTGAATAAAGTTCCCTATACTGTACAGTGGAACCTTGTTTATCTATTTTATGTATAGTAGTATCTGCAAATCCCAAACTCACAATTTACACCTCCTCCACTGGTAACCATGTTTGTTTTCTATGTCTGTGAGTCTGTTTCTGTTTTGTAAATAAGTTCATTGGTGTCATTTTTTTTAGATTCCACATATAAGTGATACCAGATGGTGTTTTTCTTTCTCTTTCTGTCTTCGATTAGTATGACAATCTCCAGGTCCATCCATGTTGCTGCAAATGGCATTATTTTATTCTTTTTGTGGCTGAATAGTGTTCCATTGTATAAATACACCACAACTTCTTTATCCATTCATCTGGTGATGGACATTTAGGTTGTTTCTATGTCTTGGCTGTTGTAAATAGTACTGCTGTGAACACTGGGGTTCATGTGTCTTTTTGAATTAGAGTTTCCTCCAGATAAATGCCCAGGAGTGGGATTGCTGGATCATATGGTAGGACTGTTTTTAGTTTTTTGAGGAGTCTCCACACTGTTCTCCATAATGGCTGCACCAAACTATTCCCATCAACAGTATAGCAGGATCCCCTTTTCTCCACACCTTCTCCAGCATTTATTATTTTGGACTTTTTAATGATGGCCATTCTGTGAATTTATTTTTTATTGTTTTTATTTTCTTCCAAATCTTGGATTTTTGAGGTGTTGCATTTACCATCCGCTGCTCTGGTGTTTCTTTGGTCTTTCTTTCTCACAGCTGAGCTCAGGTGTTCTGGACTGGAAGTTGGAGTCTTAGCGTAGTGTTTCATGTTTAACCTGTGTAACATGTCACATCCACAGAGAAATGGAAAGGAGTATGTTTCTGAGGTCTGCTTGTTGGCTATATCTTGACTAAAGACATTCTTGATCCTGCCTTTTAATTACCATTTATTAGTATCACAGACAGAGGAACACAGCAGTCAAATGAACTGATCCATGTCTAGCCACTTTCCTTTCTGCAAGTCACCTGCCCCTTCTGTCTTGTGAGAAGGAGGGGTTCTAGAAGATGGAAGTAGAATGAGAGATGCATCCCAAAGTTCTGGTGAGGAAGGCTTAATGCCAGTGGACTTTTAAACGGACATTTCTTTGCATTTTGGAATAGTTTCATGCTTATGCTTCTCATTTCTGTGAGGCTCCCAAGGAGGTAGCATCTTTCTGACCAAACTCTAGAAAACTATAAGGCTTCAGTTCAGTGGCAGTAATATAAAGTAGGACAATCAATACAGACAACATTGATCGGTCATGCTTTGAATCCAGAGAGTAGTAGACATTGGAGTCATAAGAGGCCAGCTCCTATGCAAGGTTTTAAGGTTGATTTTATGACCTTCCCCATCTCATACTCATGAGGATTGGGTTTGATTATATTCTTGAAGCAAAGTCTCCATCCTTGA